GTCAGTGCTGTCATTGTTAAAAGAAGTTATATTTCTTTGAGCATATCTGGCTGGATACTATTATTATCTGTAAATATAATAACAGAATTAAACTTCATCAAGTTCACTCCATTCTTCCACAGAGGAGTCATCAGTGTCCAGACGAATGACAACTGGATTAACTGTTTGCTCCTTCAAGCCATCTTTGAGCCAGTACTCTTTCTCCACCTTCTTGACATGTTCAACACATGCATGCCAGCGTGCAATGTCAATGTCACATATAGCAGTGTTGACAATGTGCTTGACATCATTCAACTTGAATGATTGATTTTTCCGGGCCACTGTACTTTTAAGGTCTCCCCAGATAAGTTCGATTGGGTTGAGATCACAGTGGTACGGTGGTAATCTCAAGACCTTATGGCCGTGTTGGCGTAGCATGTTGTCAATGTTATATGTGGGTGGAGGTTTGTTAGGTTTAATCAAAGAGTACAACTGTGGTTTAGTGGCCTTAATTGAAAATTGTATATTGTTATTTGTTAGCCATTGCTGCATATCTGACTTCTTTGTATTGGAAGTTGGGCACCTATTGTTTGGATCTCGAACACTGTGATAGGGAGCATTGTCCATGACAACAAGACTTTTGTAAGGCAGAGCTGGCAACAATTGTTCCTCAACATACTGTGTGAAAACCGTTGAGTTCATTTCTGTATGATAGTCCCTACCATCTGTGCTCTTTGACCGAAATACCAGATCACACCCAGGTAGGAATCCACGGTGGGAACCAGCATGAAGAACGATTAAACGTTCACCTTTGCCTGTTGGTATTTTCCTACCATCACTGGGATCAGTGGGTAGCCACTGTCTGGCAGCAGTATGGTTTGCATTGACCCAGGTCTCATCCAGAGATATATAGGTTCGAACCCATCCTCTCTTGCCTGCTTAATTTCTCTCAGATAGTTACACCTTATTTTCACAATATCAGATCTCTCACACATTACAAGTTTCTGGTTTGCTACCTTCTTGTACTTGTATCCAAATTTGAGCAGTAGTTTGCTTAGCATAAACCTAGAAACATTAATGTCGTGATCCTCTGCAAGGATGTGTTTTAACTTTCTTGTGGACAGGTGTTCATTTCTAGCAAATAGCCGGCGAATGACATCTCTGATGACCCTGATGTCAAAAGAATCTAACTTTGATGCCTACCTTTTGTACAAGGTTTTGTTTATTGGTTGTTGGTTTATTTTTCACAATTTTAGCACGATGTTCTTTTTCATGCCAAGAGCAAAAGTTGTACGTTTCATGTAATCCGACACCTTATAAATCGGTTTGCTACGTTTGCTCTCTTTTAAAAAAATTCAACACATTTCTAATTAAACGTTTAGCATCATCTGAATAAGCTTTCATGATGACAGCTAGAAGTAGTCAATGTGAATGATCCAAACGGTCTATCACTGTGCAGTGCACAGGTAGCAAGCAGTCTGCGTTCTGCTGTTTATTTTGTTGACAGTTACATAGACAGATTCTTTAATACAAATGCATAAAATCGGTGATTTACAATGTGATTAGGTTGTCTGACAAAACATCCACTTGCACAGTTTGAGATCGATTGGGGTTATAACACTGGCGGATTCAGTAAAACATATATTACGGTTGATGTTGACTTGTGCAGTACACTTTGAAGCCTAGGTCCCATATTCTGCTTCCCAATATCAAAGATCATTTGGACAAATGTAATAATTTCGTCCGAAGGTTCTTGTGAGAGAGGTTACCTACCCTTTCTCAAATACACTGCTTTTCACATTCTGTTGTATCGATATCACACGTCACTTTCAGAGCAAGTCTTTGGTGGACTATGTCCTGACTGGACCCAGTACGACACCTCAGACCAGAACATCGAGTGTGTGCAGAATACAGTGTCAACAGAGAAGAGATGCCTCTGTAAGATGGGATGTACAAGCCATCAGGGACTTGTACGGAAAGTAAGTAGCTTATAGGAGTTGTTTTACTTATATGTTAGCTGTAGGCACCGAGGGATTGTCCGCCGTCTGTGGTCGTCGGTAATATGTTTAATACAGTTGATCCAGATGAGGAATGTTCAGTGCCACGTGTTCTAAAACACAACATATATCTGACACATACAAGGGTTAAAGTAAACTATATAAACGCTTTTTGTATTTTTGAAGTCGTGGAATGGATTTTTCAAATTTGAAAAATCGATACGAATATCTAAAGGCTATCCAGTTTCGATCTGAGTGTCAATACTCTTATCTAAGGGATTAGAATAAGATATAAAAGACAAAGAAGTATGGTAAAGTAGATTTAGCTGCTTTCAGAGGGGACTTAAGGAGATTTTACGTTCAGTTAATAAAAGTGAAAATATGTACATGTAAACACCCTTCGTCCTGGAATATATTTTTGAACGCCAGAGCATCATAAAAAGCAATGGCGATAAAAGTACCATCCTACCATCCGTGATCACATATCAGTTACAGAAAAAACGCGATTGTACACGTAGATACTATTGGCCTTCTTTTGTTTATACCATTTCAAAATGTGGGCAGTTTTAATACTGGGCCACAAAATTTGTGACAAGGCATCAACCACTTCATCTGTCTTGCCTATACATTTATCTGACTGTGCGACTTTCACCAAAGTATACCATGTTATACACAACCCATCTATATGCTATGTGGAGTCCACTCTTTGTTTACATTTTTTAGAAGAGAACAATAAGAAACAATGTTGAATTTCTTGATGCAGGTGGACTTTATCAAAGGTTGTCTTTTCTTCATGCCTGATGTTTCTTTTGCACTTGTATAGTCGCTATTGTCTTCAACCCAACTGATGTTAATATGTTTGAATTAGGTTGAAATGATCTGTTTTCACAGTCGTTTACAGTTTCATACTTAGCTAAAATCATTATAGTTCTATGGCCCATTTGCCTAAAAGTAATGGCGCTGGGATGAGCGTAAGCCCATGTTAAAATATGGAGTTGCGAGCACCTTAGGGTCCTTGGATCCTGGATTGTACGCATAGTGAAATCGTTTAGTTCTGGATCTAACACTTACGTGTTATTGTGAATGTCCATTTAATTATAGACAGACAGACAGACAGACAAGTGAGTGAGTGGGTGACTTTAGTTTTATGCCGCACTCCAGCAATATTCCAGCTTTATGGCGACGGTCTGTAAATAATCGAGTCTGGACCAGACAATCCAGTGATCAACATCATGAGCATCGATCTGCGCAATTGGGAATCAATGACATGTGTCAACCAAAGTCAGTGAGCCTGACCACCCGATCCCGTTAGTTGCCTCTTACGACAAGCTGGGTTACTGAAGATCAATATTCTAACCTGGACCTTCACGGGTGAGATAGATAGATAGATATCTGATTATTGCACAAAATATTTCACGTTCATAAAACCATGTCCGTATGGCGTAAATCCTGCATTTTGGCTGTCATCACACCATCTAATGTTCAGATTGTCAAAGAAGCCCTTTACACTGCCTGAAATAGTATGCTTTAAATGGTTTATAGGAAACACTATCCTGTCGCTTTTCACATTTATTTGTGTGTCCAATTAGTTCTGGAATCTCGTCAATCTAATGTACTTAGTAGTCAGAGGTTAACAGCTATGAGACAGAGTGACATCTCTCACGACATGGTCGCCAGCTACCATCAGAGTGCGCGTCTGAAATATATAATTTGCTAGAAATCCACACTCATTCTGCCGAAAGTACAACAATTTGATGTCCTCATTCGGAGAGAGATGCTCTCAGTGTACTTTCCATGGATTCGAGTGCTAGGTGACAATTGAAAGAAGGCTGGAAAGAAGCAGTCTAGAAAGAAGCAGGCCGTTGATAAGAAAAAAAAATTATGGGAAACACACGAACATTATTTACGGAGTCACCAAACGAATACTAAGAACAGTATCCAATCTTACTCCATCCTGATTAATTCTAACATGGGGTACAATATGTGAAGCCCATTTCCGGTGTCCCCGCCGTGATATTGCTGGAATGTTGGTAAAGCGGCGTAAACCATACTCACTCCGCACTCGCTCACTCATTATATGGTAGAAAGGTATATCAGGAAATGTGGCCATATCATTGTGACTTGAATCCGATTGAAAATGATCTTAGGGTGTTGTCAGAGGTGATGCTAGTAGGCTCAATACTACGTCAAGGCAACTGTCACCTGGGGAAGCGATTTCAGACACTATAGAATTGTGTGAACAAACTACAGACGTATAAAACTAAACTCACTCACTCATCTAACCATGCAGTATTAGCAAGAGGGTAAAAAAATACTTACGTTGCAGTCAGTCAAGTTGATAAGCTGCTTTATCGCACTGTGCATCATCCTATCTGCGACAGTCACTGCCCAGGGCCGATCACATACGATTGACGCCAGTGGGGCACGTTAAAACGTCTTCATTAATTCGTCAGGGATGCTACATACGTTACACATATTTATCATATCTGCTGGTGTAAGCAGTTCGAGTGTCATCATTGTCCATACGAGCTCATTACAAATCTGCTTTCATCTGTCGTTATATTTGTTCACCAGCAACAGCGACATATAATCCTATAAGGATGAATGAGAACTTCACCAATAGTCACGACTGCATGTGGAATGTGAAGGTGGACGTAACTACAGAATTCAAGTATCTCTTCGAGGTGAGTTGAGACATGAGGCATGAAAATATCACTATACTTATTATGAATGCGATTTATATGTTCATAAGGAAGTTTCAATCTATGCAACTGTAAATGACGACGAACCCGGACAAGGAGTGAGCCGGGTGTACTATCACAATTTCCAATATGGCCATAAAGACAATACCAGGTCGTAAGTTGTAAGATAGCCCCTGAAATGTAAGATGATCTGACCTTACTGTAAGTCAAGTGAGTGTATACTATTACCTGGTTGTCTTTCACGTCATATCATTACATTATTGTTATCGTCACAAAGACTCTCAAATCAAACTCATTCTATATATAGTTTCTCTGTGACTAGGTCCGTCTCTACAACAGAGGGTTTGCAGGCTCTGTTGTCGGTGTAAGCAGAGACATAGTGGGAGGTGGTAAGTATTAAATTATTGACTAACATTTCGACTTGGTGATTTACTGGATACTAAGTATTAAATGTAATGATGTGTTGTTATTATTTATCACAATCAGAGTGAGTGAGTGAGTTTAGTTTTACGCCGCACTCAGCAATATTCCAGCTATATGGCGGCGGTCTGTAAATAATCGAGTTTGGACCAGACAATCGAGTGATGAACAGCATCAGCATCGATCTGCGCAATTGGGAACCGATGACATGTGTCAACCAAGTCAGCGAGCCTGACCACTCGATCTCGTTAGTCGCCTCTTACGACACGCATGGGTTACTGAAGATCAATATTCTAACCCGGACCTTCAAGGATTATCACACTCAGAAATCCTGTGGTAGGTTAATAAAAGCGACGAAACCTTCTCCAGTCATAGCAAATCTTTACGTACAATGTAACCTTATACGGTACCTGGAATGTGCTCTGTAATGTGTTAACTCAAATGTGAACTCTGCTGCTACCAACTTGACATGTGTCCAGTGGAATTCACCAGACATATGATTTAATGATATTGCGAGTCCAGGTCATACCAAGTAAATTACGCCTCACGAAATGTTTGTATGACTATTTTTTTTAGCTAGAAAACATATCTTGTTAGGGGTCCCGATTGCTTAAATGCCAGTAATATTAATATTGAAATTGAGCATTTCCCAAATACTCTTTGGATAATCGGCATTCCTCTCTGTGCTTTACCTATTTGTCCACCATAATATGAGTATTTTGTAAGCGAAATTTAAACCCAATTTCATCTCACCTCACATTTTAAATTTGTTATAATGTTACATGTATTTAAGATGTACGGTTCAAAGTCGACATGTATTCAGTTAATCTCCAAAGGTGATTGTACACTTTCTCTCTATTTTTCGAAATTACTTTTATAGCAGAAACATGTGTTTTTGCCAAATGCTTCCTCTCAATTTCCTAGCTCCATCACAGACGGCAGTTATATATTCCGTGAGAGAAGGTACTGTGGAATCAGAGACGCCATCCCTGCTGATCTGTCCCAGATGTCTTAATGATCACATAAATGGTCAAGTTAACAGTACGGGGTTGATTGTATGCCGAAAAGAAAATTGTGGTCAAGCCGGTGAGCAATTTAGGTCTTCAAAATCTTTGATTTGCTCTGACAACATTTTGTGAACTGTACGCAAACTCACACGTGGCCATTCGATTACCTATTTGACTCCCAAGGTGGACCAAATTGTTCTTTCAAAGCGTTTCCAATCATTAAGCTCAAATGTTAGGTACACAGATTTAACATTTTGTAACGGTTGGCTTTTCGTAACAACAATATACAGGCAAACATACCAGTCGACATCTTGTTTAATATCCCATACAGGAAATCGTGACCAAGCTACTACTGCAGTGGATTATGGCAATATGGCCAACTGGAATGCAGCCAATGAGCAAGATTTTGGTATTCCCTACAGAGCAACAAAGATGACTGGCTGGCTGGAAATGTTGGTAGGTATGAGGGTACGACATTTTATACGACATACCCAGATCATAACCAGTTCAGGTGGTTAGGAAGAATAGCGTCTTGTAACAACCTTAGTCATATAATCTACGGTTTCCTATTAGTGGTTAGTCAATCTGTTTTCTTTTGTATTACAGGAAACACAAGTTTACATTTTACTCTCGGAAATGACGATTGCAGTGGAAACACGAAAAATCTCTTTTGTAATGGAAAACTCCCTCCTGGGAAAACATTAATGTAAGTTCATTAGGACAGTCACAACTTTCACAAAGTTTCAAAAAGTGATTTAAAGAATTTGAAAATTCAATGAGGGACATTTCTGTGTTTCTGTATGCTGCTAGTACATAGAGTATATAGCAACGTGTTTTACCATTTCAGTGTATATGCATTCTCTTGCACGGATCATGGATGCACCACGAGCAGCAGAATAGAAATATCAACACCAGGTAAACACCAGTTTACTATAGTTGACTGAACATACCTGCTCTTGTAAAGTGACAAATGACTTAATGACTGTGTAATCTGTCAACAACATATATATTTCAGCACCAGTACCTGTTGCCGCTGTGGTCGGAGGTGTAGTTGCTGCGGTAGTTGTCATAACGGTCGTTACAGGCATCATAATTTTCCTGCGACGACGGTGAGAGTTGTCGATTTGAAAAGCAGAACTTAGATTTACAGTCAAAACTTGATTACGTTTTGATGAAGTAAATGTTTATCATATTACATGTGTTTGTAAATGTGATTGTTAAGGGACAATTTATCATATTACATTGCTGTTTATTATCTCAATGTCATATTAGCAGTTTCAAAGTTATCCTTTAATGTTTATTGAAACAAAACCACAACCACACAACTCAGAGTGGAGAAACTGTATCTTCTGGCGCGGATATGAACAATATTCTTTACTTAAAGCAATGCAATATACACACTCAAAAGAATGTTTTGTAAGTGAAAAGATTAATTTTACCATGCGTTTTGCATTACAAACCCTGATTAAGCAATAGCTTTAAATATCAGCCCTTTCACTATTTCTGTTCACTACGAGCAACAGTATCAGCAGTCTGTTGGTTATCCAAGACTTCCGCGATATACCTGTAACGTTACTTTGGCATTAAACGTTCGATTATTATCAAAAAATGATCGGTACCTGTTGTAATGCAAATATTGTACTGAAATTCAATGGATTATATCATACAATGTCTCCACTGTGTCCAAAATGAGAAAAACATCTTCCGTGTTCCATTACTTCTTAAACAGTGCAGATTCTTCGATATACATGTACATACCAAAAGGTTCTGATTTCTTACAGAAGAGCACACAAGGAAAGGCCTAAGAAGAGCAGAGATGAAGTCCTCGCAAACGATCAGGTCCGCCCAGAGCAAGATGACGTATACGAAAACATTCCTGATGGTCAGATGGTGACTGTCGACAGCAACCAATGTAATGGGGGTTATGTAAACTATGTGTCTGGACAATCCTTTCGGGACACAGACAATACCTATGACAAACTTGCCATTTACCAGAATGTAGATGGTCATGATTATGGGAGGATTAATATTGAAACCAGTTTTAAATAAAACTACAAGTAGCAATAGCAAAATGATTACCATATGTTCTTCAATGCAATCGGGTATAGTACATGCAGCCAACCAGTTAAAATGCTATTGCTGTTTAGTTTGTGAATGATGAAACTGGTTTGAAACCAGTTTTAAATAGACCTACAAGTAGCAATAGCAAAATGAGTACCATATGTTCTTCAGTGCAATCATGTATCCAACCATTTCAAATGCTATTGCTGACGTGTTTATTTTATGAATTATGAGTACTCATGGATATTAATCACTATACATGTACGTGACAGGTGAAATACTCTCCGTGACGTAGACTTTGCTGCAACATCGCTTCATCATCTCTCTCTAATAATTCCTGTTGGGTTAAACATTCATGTTACTCTTAGATTATGCTGTTCTTTTGTTTCATTGTTTAACGAAAGGAATGTGGTGTTAATTAGTACTATACAAAAGATATATGTATGCACGCTGTATGTTGAGGGTAAATCCTTGTAGGTTCCACGATCATTAGAAACCATTACAGCCGCCTGTACGATCCGAATGACTATCAGAAAGTGATGGTAAGGAATCAGAGAGAACATTATTTTTGTCAGTCATGTGTAAAATTATGTGTCCTTTACATGTCTACCATGAACGTTTTATAAAGCTTTACCAGTGCCTTAAATGCTGTAACTTAATCTATCAGTTTCTGAGTTCGAGTCTATTGACACTAATTGTACCTCTAACGTTGAACAAAGTAAGGCCGAAGCCGCAGGAATATTACTGGACATAAAGGGAAAGGATTTACTGTTGAAAAGTCTGTGGATATATTTTATCACAGTGAATACATAGATCTAAATATGAAACAACGTTGTCATTTTTCTCATTTACAAAACTTAGATTACAATGTATATTACAACCAAATAAAAAAACTCAAGTAAATGGATCGAGATTATACTTAGAATGGTATCATGTCGCAAGCGTATCATCGTAATAATCAACTCACTCACTCATTACAAATGTTTTAGCATTAAGCTTTAGTCACACTTCTGTGGCTGTTAGAAAAAATAAAATTTTGCATCTTTTGTAAGTGTGTACGTCATTTTTTTGAATGAAATAAATGCGTGTGTGTGAGAGTGAGTGAGAGAGGGGAGTGAGAGAGGAGAGAGAGTTACAGTGCCTGTGGACCATTCTTTCTGCCAATCTGTTTGATTCAGCTCATCCTAAATTTGTGATTTAATTTGTGATGGAAACTGGCGAAGGTCAGCGTGCAGTGGCCAATACGTTCTATGTTACACACTCCGTGGTGAGCAGACAATGAAACAGGTACGACCAAACCAAATATGTTGGCTGTCGATCTCGTCCAGGGCGCCTCCGGCCAGCAACAAGAATAAAAGTTCAACAAAATCGAGATCAAACGGCGAGTGAGATTGTGGCAGAGGTTCTGCCTACTTCAGTACGAGTTTCGGGTCACAGAAATGGTCTATTGCAGCCCATCTCCTCGCTAGACGGCCTCGTGTTATACCGTCTTATTGACCTCGATCGGCCGTGTTGTTCACACAGTCGAAAGTGGGTCTCGTTGCTTCTTACCTTTCTTGTTTTCATTTCAGTACCGATTCTCGTTGCAGACGTACATTAAGATACTTTGGTTGTAATCCGTTGGTATATGACCAGATGGTGGTCACATGATTACGTGCAAACACTTAGTTGCGGGTACAGAAACGTGCAGTAAAACTTGGACAAAAGTACTGTGACTATGTGTCCCAGTCCACCCAGCTGTGAATGGGTACCTCGTAAGAATGGGAAAGCGACAATAACCCTGTGCGCCTAGTGACTGCAAGAGTTGCATAACCCCAGGGAGTTGAGATAGTTAAGACACCCAGTGATCGAGGGAAAATCAAAGCAGCTGAGCTGGATATCGGCGCTATACAAATGTATGTATTCTAATTGTGATGTCGTAATCTTGAATCAGAATTACCAGTTATCAAGTTGTGCCCTCCAGATTTACCTCGAAACTGGGTCTGTTGTTGCTTCTTACCTTTCCCGTTTTCATTTACGAGTAAATACTGATTCACGTTGCTGATGTGATTGTGCATGGTGATGTCAAATTGAACTTACTTTAAAACTACATTAAGATACTTTGGATGTATTTTAATTGTAATATCATAATCTCGAACCAGTATTGCCAGATATCAAGTTGTGCCCTACAGATTTACCTCGACCCTTAACTTGGGAGATCTTTATTTTATTATCACTGCGTTGCAGATTAAAGAAATGATTAAGTGATAACAGTCGTGATTATTGATCAAAGATTGAGTCACAAAAATAAACTCATAGGTCCTTTTCTCAAGTTTTCAACATGTACAGCTTAAAGAAAATGTACTTTTAGACCAGTTCCAAGGAGTATTTCGCGAGCTTTCCAGACGCCTTTTTTTCGTTCATAATGCTGGTATTGCACGAGACTCTATGATGCATATGCATATATGTGTGTGGTCCTAGTACAATCAAATTTACACTGTTTGCACCACACGCTTGCAGAAACGCTTTTCGAGTTCATTCCTGGAATGTCTTAGTCTTTAGGAAGTACAAATATTCCATTTTATTGGCATTGTTACATTATATTGTACAACCAATACAGAGCTAATATACTGCGTAATATTTCATCTTAAAAAACCCCATTAAGATGCCCTAATAAACAAACCCCGAATTGCATTCCTCTATCTCTCATATACACTTTTCGAACATTTTTATGGTAAAGAAATATGTGATCGAAGGCGTCATTTGCCAGCGAGACCGATTAGACAGATACCATATCATACTACACAATAACACGTTAGTGTTAATCTCTCCATCTTGATATGGACTATCTGCCACGGCCGTCGGATTCATCATTTCATTGGTCATATAACAAATATCAGTACCTTGGGTCTTTGTCAGCAAGTGTATTCAAAACAGGGCGGTTATAGTAGTGAAAGTTCCTTTGTATCTTAGGTTTCGGAATAAAGTGTTCACAAGAAATGTAGTTAGTCCAGAAAATATTTGGGCGGTTGAATATGTCAGCGTGTTAACGTATTATGTTGGATCTTACTTGTGTGTTTAACGTCTGGAGTTTAGGCGTTAAATATCATTTTGTGAAACATGGTCCTCCCAGGTCATTATATCAGGTAAATGATTGAAGCCGTTTAAGCTATGCTATTTCATAGCCTCAACAGTTGTAGTCAAGGTTCTCTGGCCGTTTAGCATGACACTTGATACCATCTGAATTCATAATTGTCAAAGGTATGACACTTTAGTAGTTTGATAGGCAACATTACCTTGTCGTCAAGGTATGCCTGCAGACTGTGGACAGTGCGTGTTATTTGCATACACAATCAGCGTTGCCCTGTGAACTTTGTCAAAATTCAGTACAGCTAAAGGTGGTGTGTGTGGGGGGGTTCCACGAGGTGCATTCTTTTCGCTCCTACTGGATCACGACTAGTGTTATGACAGACAAACGTAGTCCCTATTTCAACTCTCTCACTATCGAGTTTTAAACGAGTTTTAAAATCTAATGTATATGGTTGGTGTTACACAACCAAACAAGCGAACATTCTAAACCAATATTTAAGTGTTAAATAAAGGACAGTCAACACCAGCAGTAATAAATACAGGGCTGGGCAGGACATGAAGACAATCGACATCAATAGTGTAAAGTAAAGTGTCGAGCTTGACATGGGGGCAGTCGGCACCAACTGGGTATAGAGTTGAGCAGGACATGAGGACAAGCGATCCAACATTGAGTGTCGAGGTTGATATGAGGGCAGTCGGCACCAACTGGGTAGAGAGATGAGCAGGAAATGAGGACAATCGACACCAATAGTGTAAAGTAAAGTGTCGAGGTTGACGTGAGGGCAGTCGGCACCAACTGGGTATAGAGTTGAGCAGGACATGAGGACAATCGACACCAACAGTGTAAAGTAAAGTGTCGAGGTTGATATGAGGGCAGTCGGCACCAACTTGGTATAGAGTTGAGCAGGACATGAGGACAATTAACACCAACAGTGTAAAGTAAAGTGTCGAGGTTGATATGAGGGGATTCAGCACCAACTGGATATAGAGTTGAGCAGGCCATGAGGACAATTAACACCGATAGTGTAAAGTAACGTGTTCGAGGCTGACATAATGCCAGTCAACACACTGAATGATAAATATAGGACAGTCAACACTGTCAATGGTAAACATAGGGTTGAGGTGGGCATGGGTACAGTAGACATCAACAGTGTTAAATAAATGGTTGTGTTACACATGCAGACAGTCGACACAGACTGTATTGTATCCAAGACCAAAATCAATATCACAACAATACACATTCTGTTTATGTTGATTGGTTGTCATTGTTTCGATACTTCTTTGGGAGTACACGTTTCAAGTGGATTGTTATGTAGACATGTAAACATTATATCTGACAAACACATACAGCAGCGAGTCAGTTGTTTAATTGAAGGGATCCTGTTAAAAGTCAAAATGAAGCTGAGGCCTCGAATGCTTTCATTTAAGAATCAGATGATAGCACAGTTGAGAAACGTGTAATTGAACGTATATAGGTATACGAGGCGAAATATGAGGGACGCTTGACTCTAAATAGACTGGCATGTTGCAATATTCTAACTATAGGCTTGTCTGCTAACCGAGACTATTTGGAAGCACATCGTTCGTATGAAGCACAATCTTCCTTTTCCTGGTGACTGGCTTGTTCTTGCTGGGAAGATGGCGTGCCATGTAATCAATGAACATAACAACCTAACCTAACGTCCAACATATTAGTTTACTTAAGGTGAATGGGCAAATATATGTTCAGTAAATATATGCTCTACAAATACGTTCTACGCGTATAAGTATATGCTAATAACTTTGTTGGAAAATAACTAATAGTATTAATTCAAGTAATCATTATCAACACTGCTTATCATCAGGGGCTTTAACATCACTTCCTTCTAAAGAGTGCTGAAACGTTGCTGAGAGTAACATTTTGGATAAGGAGGGGGCATCATTTCCTCTTATAACGCCCAAATAAATACATATTGTATCTGATTTCATGTGATCTTTTTCATACGCTACAATTACATGCAACTGGTCATCATTGTTTTGAGAGTACACGCGACTGCCGTTCATTTCAAAAGCTAACAGATATTAATATCAAATTGACTCAAGATATATATTGTGTGGGTTATTTAACAATAACCAAATGCTTGTTACACAAGTCATTGTAGACATTAATTTGGTTAAGGTGTAATTGATCATTAGACCGTAGATATGTCAATGTATTTCTTATCAAAAACTAATAACTATCTGATAATACGCATGTAGTTTTAACTTACGTGTGCTATACAAACCGTCATCCAAGAATGCTCATATCAGAATAATAACTATATTGAAGGGAGTGATTGCAATACAGCATCAACAAATAATTTCATATTACGATAAAGTCAAACAGAATGCATATAACTCCGACAGTTTGAGTCACCGTTGCAGGAAAGCAAGACTTTACATTCAGTCTATATTTGTTTTGGGCTTTGATAACAGATGTAGATAGTCAGAGGCGAGTGAGTGAGAATAGGAAGTACTCATTCTGAATATATACTTCAGTGTGTAGAGGCGAGGATAGGTTTTGTGTCAATTTTGAGCTTAAAATTTATATTTAGGAAAGTAGTATTAGGTGTTGTTTTACTCAGCTGGACTAATAGATAATGTTTTAGTCAAATGAGAACCACTACCCGTACCAACCCGAACGATGAAACACTGGTTAGAGAAGTCCAAACTGGCGCACACGCAATCCTGTCACGTGGCCTGGCTGACAGAATGAGGAAGTGAAATTGCTCGGGTGGATAACACGGGTGGAGACAGTCTTACACAGTCGCTCACCAGGGTCGAGGAGCGCCAGTCCGGGGGTACCAGAACGACAATTGATCGTGGCTATTAAGCAGGACTGTGTAGTACATTGAGAAGTATACCGATGGTCAACACCCGACACTGTACGCGTGGTGAAGATGACTGGGTGTGTTTAAAGACAAGAGGAGGAATATGTTCTCGGTGAACCAAGTTTAAG